AAGTCCTGACAGCCACTGCTTGGATGTACTTCGTTTTTTCATGAATTTTTTGAAGCCACGGCAATGTGGAGAGCTTTCAAAGAATTCGTTTATTGAGAATCCTTTTTGTTTTTTTCATTTTAATAACAATTTTGTCAGATTGATGATTTGAAAAACAAACTAGCGCAGTCTGAAAGCCTTCAGCGCAGCTTGAATCGGCAGGTGGAAGAGCTGAAACAAGAAAATGCTAAGTTACGGGAACAGGTAATTTGTTTTCTATAGAAGCAACTAACTGTAGGCACCAAGTTCCCACTCACAATTTTGATCTTCAGATTACTGCTGGAGAACGTCAAGAGCAAGAAACTGCAGAGGAGAACAAGAAACTACGTGGAGGACTAACAGATGCGTTGAGGAAAATAGACCAATACAAGAAAGAGGCAGAGTCTGCGAAGGAAAAATGCCAAGAAATGACTGAACAGCTGGAGAAAAATGAGGACTGCATCGTAAGTTTATCGTTTTCCTTCGAATAGTGTAGGTTGCCATAGATTTATTCTAGACAAAGTTAGAAGATGAAGTGATCAGCTTGGAAGAAAGACTGGAAGAAAAAGACAAGCTCGAGGCTTACTTGCAGTCACAGATAAAAGCCAAAGACATGCCAAAACTTAGCAGAAGAAGTACTTTGTTGCGAACACCTACCGAAAGCTCAATTGTGAGTGAAGTTTATTTGAAAAAAAAAACCAGCTGTCATCCCAAAAATTCTGCATTCAGGAGATTATCGACCCAGTGGTAGTTGAAGAGCTTGAAAATGAAAGAACGAGTCTACTGAAAGAACTGGAGGAGAAAAGGAAAGGTAGCTTGTCAATTCGCAGAGAAGTTACAGTATACTCAACCGCTTCCGATTCAGAACTGAATTCTCGCAAAATGATGCCACCTCCCGTTCCAAAGGGTCATCGTCTGCAGCCTTCAGCTCCCTACACCAACACAATTTCCCGAAAACCCTTGGCCAAGGTGCAGTCCAAATCCATCGCAGACATCCGCTGCACCTCTGTGCAACAAAGCAGAGTTGGCACTTTGGGAACGTCAACCTCACAAACTGCCACAATGAGGCATGAAATCCCCCATAGGTGAGACAATTGTCCACTATCCATATATACAGAAAAGGTGGCATGGGGAGAGTGGGCAGACAAGCTTCAAAGGCAGTGTCCAGACATATCTGGTCACATGAGTTTTTT